TATAAGGCACAAAAGCACTAGAGCCAGAAGTTAACAGACAAAATTTTGAGCTGTAGTACAAGAACAGCAAAAATATACAGGTGACCGGATGACTGTTTGACAGTGTTTAATTATATTTAGACTTTTTCAACTAGTCTAAATCTTGCCACTGTCGCCAAGTTCTCGCTAATGGTGGGAACTGTTGTGTCTCGTGAACACCAGGTTCTTACACAGCTACAGATACACAGCCCTGGACAGTACCGTATTTTTTTGTTGTCTGTATATATTCACCCCAAACAGCCAGTAAAGTGACTAGAGAGAACCTTTAATGTGTGCATTGAGTTCTGTTACACTCGGTTCATTTAATCCAGTCACATGAGAAAGTTTTCACACTCAATCCCGTTTATTCACAGATTATTTATTTGGGTCACAAATATATTTGTAGAATCTCTTCTCCCTGCTAATGGCACTAATTTTGTCTCATTTATAAAGTATTTAAAATGTGTACTGGTTTTTACTGATGAGAGGAAATCAATGAGACTGCCTGTTACAGTTACTCTGCTTCAATGCATTCATCAGATCTCATTCATAAAGTGAAAAACTTGCATACTTATGATGATTAATAAACTGAAATGAAGACTATGATGAAATGAAGCTATACTGCATTATAATGCTTATATTTTTATGATGATATAAAGACATTTTAAAAGAAAATGAGTCAATGGAACAGCAATACTTAAAATACTGCACATATTTAAGTAAAACAAACCGTTTTTTTGTTTTGAAAATGTTGCAGAACGGTGACGTGATGCAGAAACAGCTGTAAAACTGCTCAGGAATGTGCTCTTCTCACTGTAAATTAAGTCACTGTAGTTTGTCATGTTTAAAAAGTAAAAAAATAGGAAAATAAGTTTGGGAAACTGCTGTAACCTATATGTGACTCAGCTGTGAATATAATCATTGTGAATAATACGTTATTAATTACGTTTGTTTTGTGTGCAGGGTCCAGATGGAAGAAGAGGCCCCATCGGTGAGACGGTAGGACAGGAACTCAAACACCTGGCTCTGTAACATATCTATAACACACTGAAATACTCTCTTTAAACTGCCTGTGTCCTTTACAGGGTTTGCCTGGAGGACCGGGAGCTCGAGGACTCCCAGGGAGCCCAGGTGCTTCTGGTCCACAGGTGAGTTCTCTCTGAGCCTCGTCTCTGCATCCAACATCTCATCTAAATGTATTTATTTATACAGAAATTTTGTGGTTATTGGGATATACCAAATATTCAATCATTGTAATGAAACTTAGAAACCGTGATAGCCGACTTGATAGCAACGTTACCCAGAAATGTTAAGTACCCCAAAGTTTTGTGTTAGAAATGTACCCCAGAACTTAGAAACTGACAGATGCTAACTTTGGCATTTTGCACAATTAGCATTATTTATCACCTATATGGACAATATTTCAGTAACTGCATGTAGGGTTTGGACTATATAAGCTTAATTGCCAGTGGACTGTTTTTGATTAATTTTGAGATTAATTATGTGGTTAATACACAACCACAGCAGTAAAGACCCAGGTCAATGGCAAAATGCTGCACAGCAGATACTGGACAGAAACTGGAGGACAGGAGACAGAAGAGATAAATACACATCAATTCTGACTTCATGTCTTAATACCCAGTCCTTTAAAATCCTACAGAAACTGAGCTCTTTGTCCTTACTGGCTTAATTTCAAAACCAGATGGATAAAAGTGTACAAGTCCAAATTCAGACAGTGCTGTGTTTAGATTCAGCGAGGACGCAGTGAAATTCCTAAATGCTCATTAGCAGCTCACTCTGCCAAACAAATGTTTCTTAGGTCGCCTGTGTTTCTCCAGTTGATATGTTGGTGTTCGGGAAAGTGGATTTGCCAGATTTGGATTTGATAACAGGCTTGGCTGATGGACAGACTTCCACAGAAATTCAGTGGAGCTGTGTCGGCAAAGTGAAACAATGTGTGTCTTGAATAGGAAACACATGAACATACTGAACAAAGATGCCAATAAAAATTCAAATGTCTTATGTTTTATATTGTCCTTCTGTGAGATCATTGCTTTCCTCGGAATAGTTTGGAACCATTTAATGGGCTGCATGTGGATCAGTGTACTGAGAAGACCATAGTCTACTAATATTCATAAATAGGGAAACAAAAAACGAAAAAATAAAAACTGAAGACCAAAACAGGAACCAGTTTCTGTTTTTGGTTCCAAATAGGGGAACCAATCACAGTTGCCAAAGCTTTATTGGAGGTCGCGAGGCCTTCTTGATTTTAATGGGTGTGAGAAAACACTTAAAAGTACACACAGTTCCCTAAACAGGAACTAAAACTTTCTGCAGTTACTGAGTTCAATATTTGGGTTCATTGTACAGTTTTGGAATATAATATGAAACATCCATAAAATCAGATTGTTTAATGTTTTGAAACCAGTGTTGTAAAGCACCTTTTCACAATAATGCAATTTAAAGTGGTTTATGTGGGACATAAAAAAGCATTAGTAGAACAATAACATCATCATTTGTGTGGCTGTTTTTGCTTGAGGTGGGAGGTGATGAAGTAAAATAACACACAAGCGTATTGGGGGCTCCATCCTGAACCCGTCCATGTTGTCTCCGCAGGGACGCAGGGGGGAAAACGGAGATCGTGGACCAAAAGGAATCTCTGGTTTTCCTGGACCTCAGGTCAGTACCTCACTGCACCTTCCTCCCACAGACTGCTGCCGAGGATTTAGCTGTTTTACACTGACACTGCGTCGGGAATAACGCTGAACTGCGTCCATCAGCGTTACATCACCAAGTTCCAGTACAGCTTTTGTTAGCAATAACTGTTGATAACAATGCATTACACAGTATTTTAAAGGTCCAGTGTGTAACATTGAGCAGGCTCTATGTCAGAAATTTAAATTAAATATTCATATTAATATGTTTTTCTTAGTGTCTGTCCTATACTTAGAGACAGGCCTCTATGGGACAGACCTCTATTTGGGAAAGCGTCTCGTAGCTGGTCTATTTTTGATGGAAGCCGCGACCCACTCGCATCAAGCAGCACAGAGCAGAATGCACTGGCAGGAAGTCAGAAGACAGAAACAACACAGAAACCGGTCAATTTCCAAAATAAAATACCGCATGCAGACTCTGGATCGAATTTGACACTACATCAACATTGGGGCGCCCGGTTAGCTCAGTTGGTAGAGCTGGCGTCTCATGTACCGAAGCTGAGTCCTTGCTGCACCGGCCCTTTGCTCTTTGCTCTTCAGTCTCATATTTTAAAAGGAAGGCTGGGAAGTACACACTTTTTCATGAACAGGAATGTCGTAATAACTAATTACTAACTAATTTCAGGCCAGCAGTCATTAGATTCTGCAGTTTGTGTCACCACGAAACATATTTTTTTACTACTTCAGTTTTTCTCACAGTGTGGCCTTACAATGTGGCTGCATCTGTTTCTAATTACAGCACTGAGCCAACATCAGAGCAAGTGTTTTTCCTCAAACTACAAAAGGCTCAATTATCAACTCATGAACTTGACTTTACTTTATTACATTCTGCCTCTATAACTGCTCACTTACAAGTTGCAGACTAATGCAAATGCACATGAATGATTTACATGATTTAGAATGTGTTTGTAGTCAGTTTAAAGGCCTCACAAACAGTTTGTATATTGTGTTCATATACATATATGTATATATGTGACTTTTTTGGTTCGGGTGGGGGGGACTTATGTAAAGATGGCATTAAATATGGACCAATATATATTCAATACATATTTAAATACACTAAAATAACAGATTTATACCACATGCAAAAAACCTCATAGGATTAGCATAAACTGTCCGTAAAGGGGAGACTCGTGGGTTCCCATAGAGCCCATTTTTATTCAGATATCTTGAGGTCAAGCAATAAAGTTGATTTTATTTGAGCGATAATAAAGTTAGACACAACCGGCATAGAGAAGCTGGTCAATTTTCAAAATAAAATACCCTGTAAAATACCCTGTGTGCAGATACAGTCCTCTCATGAAACAGATGCGTTATGTCTTTTAGTTTCATATGATACCAGTATATTCACTCTAGCTTTAAGGCGGAGCCTGCTACAGGAACTGTTAAGTTTCTCTTTTTGTAGTTTCTTCCTGCTCTGACTGTTGGTGTTCCTGCAGGGTGAACCAGGACCAGCAGGAGACTCAGGACTACTCGGACGCCGTGGCCCTAACGGACAGAAGGTGTGTGACATAATTCCCTAGTATGCTAACTTTTGCTAAAATTGTTCTAAAAAGTATTGGACACATTAAAATGTTGATCTGATGTTTTATTTCCTGTACTACCTACATCAATTGTCCGTTTGATGTAGCGTTTTGCTACAGAACAAGCAAAAAAAACAGATGAATGAGTAGAAAATACTCTGAATATTGTACAGGGTTTGGTTGGGGTGTGGGGTTCTGTTAGGGAAATATGGAATATGGAATCTTCTCTCTACTTCATGACTTCAGTAGAGAGAAGATTTAACTGTTGTTGTTGTTGTTGAAGGGCC